ATTCCCCCCCCCCCCCCCTTTTGCTCAAGTTAAAATAATTTGGCAGGAAAAACCTCACAAATCGTTTTTTTTTTTTTTTGGAACCCCGATGGACCGGACCACAGCACAGATTTGAATTTGGGCCAGGCCTAGCAAATCGAGATCTTTGAAACATATCGATCAGACTTCTTTTACATGGGCCCAAATATGAATATAAAGGGAGGTATTATTTTACCATAATACCCCTCGCTCAAAACCCTAGTTTAACACCCCTCTTTCTATATATACCCGACATTCCGTTTCTCTGAAAACCCTAGTCCATGGTGAGTTACAATGGAGGAGCCTCTGCTGGGAAAGAAGATTGTTAAGAAGGGGTTCATCAAATTCAGGAGACTCCAAAGTGACCGTTCTGTCTCTGCCAAGGAGTAAATATCTATATTTTGCAATGCCGTAAATCCGAAAGTACAATCTTTGATACATAAAGCTTAATAAACTTTTTGCATTTTTATTTGGATTTTTTTATGATGGGAAGATGATGATAGTGTTGTCGCCCCAGGCTTAATTTTCATCTATCTGTAGATGCAATGTGGTGATTGACATCCTATTTCTGATTCCTTCAATAATATATTTTTCATTTCCTCTTTATGATTTATGTTTTTATCGATCTTTTTTAATTTAATTTTGTTGATAATTGTTATATGAAAAAGGAGATATGATGATGTTTATCCACCTATTCCGATATTCAGTGACGATTATCAAAACATGCACTACCATCTGATCTCTATTCGATCGTACTTTTAGACTTCAGTTTAATCTTCTTTTCTTCTTTTTTTGTTTTTTTTTTTCAATTCTGTTGATGCAATCTATGATGAAGTCTATGACAAATTGCTGATTTTCCAAGTGATTATCACAAACCTATTCACCGTCTTTCGGCTGAGATTGCTGAAACAAATAATTATGTTTGTTTATTTGAAACATTACTTGCCCGTGGTATCTAATGTCCAGACTTGTTCCTTTGCTGGATGTTCCGTTTTGAGGGCAGATATGAACCTGAGAGCAGGTCTTGCGACACAGTTAGCTTTACTGTTTAAAAGCTCTCTGTTACTTTTAATCCTGCTCACATTTCTACACTTTTTAGAAAAAAAAAGTATTTCTTTCCTACCTAAATCATTCAATACTTTATAATATTGCAAGCTAGTTGAAGTATATGTTTGCTTTGACTTGTAAATGATATTAGTTTAATTGAATGTATTGTACAAGTATAAATTGTATTTTCATCCGCTTGCTTAGAACTGTGCAGAGTTGTGAATTGAAATGCTTGGACTAATTTTAAAATTGACAGACAAACTAGTGTAGACCAAAGGGTATTGATTCTTGGGGCAGCAGAAAGTTCAAGGGATTGATTGACCTTGCTGCCCAATATTCGGTACAGGTCTGAAAAGAAGACTAGCGAATGGACATGCCAAGGAGCCTGAGTTGTTGGCTCTTGTAATGTTTATTTGTTTAATATTTCATTCTGCAAGAAATTTTAACTTTTAACGGGTTTTTCTGTTGAACGCTAGACATAACATGCAGGGATAGGACGCCGTTCTATTGGAAAGAAGTGAAATTGTGATCCGGCATCTCAACTTGAGCTTGCTGTCACCAATAAGTTTGACAGGCCGCATAGCCAGGAGGATGAATGAGCTTTAGCCTTGCAAGTTCTACATTGAATTTACTAATAACCTGCTAGCTAGTGAAATTTGTTACTATGGTAAAACCCATGTAACTTTCCTTATAAGATGTTTTTTGACTCTTATACATGTACTTTTGGACAAGAATTTATATTAATTTTTGAATCAAGTTTGTATCTTAGTGTGTTTGGCGGGGATTTTTGGGGGAAGAATTGATTTTTGAATAGTGATATGATGAGAAATGTATGGTTGAAAAAGAAGAAAAAAATATTGATGCGATAGAAAATGTTATTTTATTGAACAATATGTAGTTGAAAATGAGAATTGATTTATTGTAGAAAATGAAAATCTATACCAAACATGCTCTTAGTTGATGAATGTCCTGTATATCAGCTCTTCCATATATCCACTTTAGAATAAAGCGATTTGCAAGTTGGTTGCTGTCATACAGTTTCTCTAAGGTCTCTTCGATTGGAGTCATTTTGGCCTTTGGGTCGGCTCTGTTAACAAAAGCGCTCTTCCTTTTGGTTCCCCTGGATTGTTTTCGTGACTGCCTCGTGAGGATTTTTCTTCCAAGTAAAAAGGTCAAAAAAGCAGTGTTTTTGCTGTCTAATATTAATTAATACTGAAGTAAACAAACATAGCAAGAGATGGAGAAAGATATAATTTGCAAGCATTTATTCTTGTAATCTTTATAAATGATTTCCATTGCCCCTTTTCGAATACAGAATGTATCTTCAATCAAACAGTCTTTACGATATGTCAATTGGAGGCCTAATTTGAAGCCTCAACCAAAGGGGTGAGAGGTAACGTCACGCCATGCCTACTGTAAGCCATTTGAGATCAGAATTTAGGCAAGGCATGGGCGTTGCCTTTGTTATGGTAGTATATTTTCTGTAGCCACATGGAAGAAGAATATTGAAGATCCCAATGTCAATCGAGGGCCATAGTTTTAGTTGCTTCAGGCCTCTCTCGGTTCAGCGTCATAGAACACTTGTGTCAGTGCCCCCTTGCCGTATCCATGTTGCGCACATCCAAAAATAGTTGTGTTCCAGGACACAACATTCTTAGCAATTTCATTGAATATGCTCAATCTATTTCTGATATTTCCACATGCAGTAAACAAAAGAACCCTAGCTTGATGGCTGCACCGTGAATTCCCTTCCCCCCAGTCAACAGCCTCCATTTCACAGCATGAATTCAAGGCACTGGTGAAAGAAGATTGGTAAGTAATAACTCCCATTCTAATCATATCACCAAAAATTATAGGCCAACAATATAAATTGAATTATTACGAATTAATTATGTCATGTTTTCTTTACGAGAAATTGTTATAGAATTTTATCATCCAGTCATAAAAAGATTCAATCAATGGTTGCACATATTTCTCTGTATGGAGGCCGCGAATTCAGGGAAAACAAGAATCTGAATCAACCTACATTTCTAACTTTCCCTTCTAGAGAGAGAGAGCCACATACATAGAATCAAGACACGTATTGGGTTGGGTTTCAAATTCTAGAGAGTTTTTTGTTCAAATCAATAGTTTCTGGAAGAAGACCAAAATTAGTTACAAAAACAGCAAAGTAATCGCTTAGAAACAAAAATGAGAGGTCCTCAGTTACTCGTACTAAAATTGGTACCTCTCTATATATATAAACGAAATCACAAGATAAAACTCAACATCCCTGGTTCAATTTCTATTTTTAATATCATCATTGGCCTTTTGGTTCCTCCGGTTAGCTCCTGAAGCTGGTTTTGCTTTAGAGCATGTCATTCTTTTTCTGGTGAAAATTAGGTAAAGAAAAATGCATGAAGGAGAGCAGACATTGAAGAAAAAAGATGATCAAAAAGTGCCCTTCTATAAGCTTTTTTCTTTTGCAGACAGGCTAGATGTTCTTCTTATCATTGTTGGATCAATATCTGCCGTTGGCAATGGATTAGCACAGCCTATCATGACCCTTATTTTTGGCCAGTTGATTAATTCTTTTGCCGGGACAGATCAAAAACATGTTGTGCATGAAGTTTCCAAGGTATTCTTTCTTCTTCGACGATCTTGCGGCCGAGTTTGATTTTATTTGATTGATTTATTCTCTTTTGAATTATAAGCCTGTTTGGAAAGCCATTATTTCCTTGGAAAATGGAATTCAATTTCCTTCGTCCTGGCTAGTTTGATAGCCACAATTTTCTAGGCCAAAAATTTTCCCACCCCTTGCTTCACACGCTAATTTTCCATCATTTGTGGGAAATGTTTTTCCCACCTTTTTGGTGGGAAAATGAATTCCACGTTTTTTTTGGGCAATGGATACAAATTTCATAACTAATTGTAAAAAAAAAATTTCACTTTAATGGATAATTTTCATGTAAAACAAAGCCAAACGAATACTAAACTTTGATGAAAAAAATAATTTTTTAGGAAAAAAATTTTCTTTTTTTCTTTTTACTTTTTGGTAATGGAAACAAATTTTATAACCAATTGTGGAAAAAAAATCACTTTCATGGACAATTTTCATGTAAAACAAAGCCAAACGAATAGAAAATTAAAAAATTTTTCGGGTGAAAATTATCACTTTAATGGATAATTTTCATGTAAAATAAAGCCAAACGAACACAAAATTTAAAAATTTTTCGGGTGGAAAATTATACCAATCAAACACACTTAATTAACAATTCCCTGCAAAACATTTTTCGGACAATTACTTTTCTTGGAATTCATTTTCTTTCCACCCATTTTTCACCATTGCAATCAAACGGACCCTAATTGAATTATGAATAGAACGAGACTTTTTTTTATGATGTGATTTGTACTAACGATCCTATTCATCATTGAGAGAATAACTTGTGTTTTTATACACATGGGCAATTTTCAGATATCGGTCAAATATGTGTACTTGGCCGTTGGCGCGGGCCTTGCTTCATTTCTGCGTAAGTGCATTTAATTTTTTAATTTTTTCCCCCCTGAATCTTCAAGAATCTATGCATTCAAACTGAATGAAAATTTGTTTGCTTGTACAACAGAGATGTCATGTTGGATGGTGACTGGAGAAAGACAAGCCACTCGAATTCGAGGATTGTACTTGAAAACAATATTACGACAAGACATTGAATTCTTTGACACTCAAACGACAACTGGAGAGGTCATTGGAAGAATGTCTGGTGACACCATTCTCATTCAAGAAGCCATGGGCGAAAAAGTGAGCAATCCTCCTGATAATCAATTGCAACTGCATTTTTTACTATTCTTTTCATTTCCATGTTTACTCATTACAGGTTGGAAAATTCATTCAATTTACGTCCACATTCTTTGGAGGCTTTATAATTGCCTTTTGCAAAGGATGGCTTCTAGCACTGGTCTTATGTTCTTGCGTCCCAGCTCTGGCAATCGCTGGAGGTGCCATGTCATTGTTCATGGCCCAAATGTCGAGCCGTGGACAAGTAGCTTATGCAGAGGCAGGAAATGTGGCAGAACAAACAGTAGGAGCAATTAGAACGGTATAATATGTTGACGTGTTTGGTAGGATGGACTATACTATTAGTATTGTATTGTTCATTCCTGTCTAATATTACATACCACATTGTATTTGCACACAAATTGATCCTGAATGTCTACGAAATCTCTTTTACGTCTAAATATTTTAGGTAGCATCATACACCGGAGAAAAGGCAGCAACAGATAAGTATGATAGGGAGCTTCAAATTGCTTATGCCTCTAGTGTCAAGCAAGGGCTGGCTTCAGGTGTTGGACTTGGCGTAGTATTACTAATAGTGTTTGGTACTTATGGACTTGCCATATGGTACGGATCAAAATTGATCTTAAACAAAGGCTACAATGGTGGGGACATTATCAATGTGATTATGTCAATTATGACTGGGGGAATGTAAGTTTAGCATTACAACAATTTACTAGGCCAAACAAAGGCTCTAAAAATATGTTTTGTCCAAATCATATATAAAAAACCATTAACAATTAATGTTGTTCATTTGTTTTCTTACCTTTTAACTATTTTGGACATTGTTGAATCTGCAGATCACTTGGCCAGACATCTCCGAGTGTCAATGCATTTGCATCAGGGCAAGCAGCTGCATACAAAATGTTTGAAACCATCGAACGGACACCAAAAATCGATGCATATGACACTAATGGAATCTTCTTGGATGATATTAAAGGTGAAATTGAACTCAAGGATGTGTACTTCAGATATCCAGCAAGGCCAGAAGTGGAGATTTTTGCAGGGTTCTCGATTTACATTCCTAGTGGAAAAACTGCAGCTCTAGTTGGACAAAGTGGAAGTGGAAAGTCGACAGTCATCAGCTTGTTAGAGCGATTCTACGACCCTGAGGCAGGAGAAGTATTTCTAGACGGCGTTAATTTGAAGAAGTTGAAACTCCAATGGTTAAGAAGCCAGTTAGGTCTTGTAGGTCAGGAACCTGTCTTGTTTGCAACTAGTATGAAGGAGAATATATTATATGGCAAAGAAGACGCTACTGATGAAGAGATTAGAAAGGCGATAGAACTTGCTAATGCTGCGAAATTCATTGACAAACTTCCTCACGTAAATTGTGCTTTTTTTTATTTAATCTTTCATGTTTTCTTTTTGTATATGATTATTGATCAAATTTTACGAATATCTTTCTTGCAGGGTCTTGATACAATGGTGGGTGAACATGGAACTGCACTATCTGGTGGTCAGAAGCAAAGACTTGCAATTGCTAGAGCTATTCTAAAAAATCCAAAAATCCTTCTTCTTGATGAAGCGACAAGTGCTCTAGATGCTGAGTCGGAACGTATAGTACAAGATGCACTGGAAAATGTTATGAAAAATAGAACAACCGTGGTTGTAGCACATCGTTTAACGACTATCAGAAATGCTGACCTTATCGCAGTGGTGCACCAGGGAAAACTAGTAGAACAAGGTAAAAAAAAAAATATGCTGCTAAATTTGATTATTTAGTACAAGCAATTATTTGATTACTAATTTAACACAAAATCAATTATAGGTACTCATAACGAATTGATGAAAGATCCTGAGGGAGCGTATACGCAGCTTGTCTGTATGCAAGAAGGGAGGAAACAGGCCGAAAACAATAGAGTGGCCGGGTTGCAGAAAATGGATTCTGATCTAGCCTTGGATAGATCTTCAAGCCAGAGACTAGCAGTAAGGAGATCTACCAGCAGCGGTTCCTCCAGGCATTCCTTCACAATATCCTACGGTGTTCCTGGTGTTTTTGACTTGCAAGAAACTGAAATTGGAGAGGACAGAGATGAAAACTACGAAGAGCTTTTGGAGAAACGTAAGAAAGTTTCTATTACACGGCTAGCCCACTTGAACAAACCTGAATTACCGTATTTGATTCTGGGAACTGGAGCTGCAGCTGCACATGGTGTCATTTTCCCTGTATTTGGACTCTTGATTTCATCAGCTATCAAAATTTTCTATGAACCTCCACACGAACTGCGGAAGGATTCCCAGTTTTGGGCACTTATGTTTGTCCTCCTTGGTGGATGCACTTTAGTAGTCGTACCAATCCAGAATTACTTTTTCGGAATAGCTGGGGGTAAGTTGATACAAAGAATTCGTTCTTTGTCATTCAAGAAGATAGTGCACCAGGAAATAAGTTGGTTTGATGATCCTGCCAATTCAAGGTTATCACTTCTTTTTCAGCGTAATCTAAAACATACATTCTCTTTTTCTTACATAAGTGGAATACTTAACTGGATGTGTTTGCTGAAAGCAGTGGTGCTGTTGGATCAAGATTATCTTCTGATGCATCAACCATAAGAACTCTAGTGGGTGATGCCTTGGCGCTTATTGTGCAAAATCTCTCAACAGTAATTACTGGCCTTGTAATAGCCTTTACTGCTAATTGGATACTAGCATTCATAATCCTACTTGTATTGCCCCTAGTTGGCATGCAAGGATTCCTTCAGTTTAAGTTCTATAAAGGGTTCAGTGCAGATGCCAAGGTAAAACATATTTGATATTTAGTAATGAACAGTATTATCGAGTATTGTATGATCCAGTTTACGAGATATGTACTATATATATCGCACAGTTAATGTACGAGGAAGCTAGTCAAGTGGCAAACGATGCTGTTGGCAGCATCAGAACTGTGGCATCATTTAGTGCTGAAGAGAAGGTGATGGAGATGTACCAGAAAAAATGTGAGGGACCTACGAAGCAAGGAATTAAGCTTGGCATGGTTAGCGGAGCTGGTTTTGGGGTTGGTTCTTTTGCACTGTATTGTACAAATGCCTTCTGTTTCTACATTGGAGCTGTTCTTATTCAAAATGGGAAAGCAACATTTGGAGAAGTATTTAAGGTAAGCTAGCAATTGTTTTGCTCAAATCAGTAATATTTGAATTTAAGATCGCCCTCAATCTAACAACATAAGCAAACAGGTTTTCTTTGCCCTGACAATGTCAGCTACCGGAGTTTCCCAAGGAAGTGCAATGGCTCCGGATATTAATAAAGCCAAGGATTCTTCTGCTTCTATATTTGAGATTCTCGATAGCAAACCAAAGATCGACTCAAGTAGCGATAAAGGCACAACATTGGATACTGTCAAGGGAGATATCGAGTTTCAACACATTAGCTTCAAGTACCCTACGCGCCCTGATATTCAAATCTTCAAGGATCTTTCTCTAACCATGCCTTCTGGCAAGGTATTTCTATTCTCTATCCCTCCAAGTTTCTTTGATGTTAATCCTGAACAAAATCGATATATGTTTTGTGCATGTTTGGTATGTAGTACTTGACAAGTCCCTTTCCAAACATGCACGATTTATGTCTTCGTTTCGATCATCATTTACAGCTTTGAAACTTCTATTTCATTTTCCAGACCGTTGCTCTTGTTGGAGAGAGTGGCAGTGGAAAATCTACAGTCATCAGTCTAATAGAAAGATTCTACAATCCCGACTCGGGCCTAATATTCTTGGACGGCGTGGAAATCCGAAGATTCAAGATCAGCTGGCTGAGGCAACAAATGGGATTGGTAAGTCAAGAACCAATTCTCTTCAACGAAACTATACGTTCAAACATTGCCTATGGCAAAAAAGGCCACGTGACAGAAGAGGAAATCATCGCAGCTACAAAAGCCGCCAATGCACACGACTTCATATCTGGATTGCCTAATGGTTATGACACTTCTGTTGGAGAAAGAGGGGTCCAATTATCTGGTGGACAGAAACAAAGAATTGCCATTGCCAGAGCAATCTTAAAGGACCCGAAAATCCTTTTACTTGATGAAGCAACTAGTGCATTAGATACAGAATCTGAACGTATAGTACAAGAAGCATTAGATAAAGTAATGGTGAATAGAACAACAGTTGTTGTTGCTCATAGGTTAACCACAATTATGGGGGCAGACATTATTGCTGTTGTGAAAAATGGAGTTATTGCGGAAAAGGGAAAACACGAAACGCTCATGAAGATGAACAATGGAGTCTATGCGTCGTTGGTCGCACTTCACGCCAACTCAAACTAAAACATTTGGTTCAAGAATTTCTTACTTCACAAGTTGAATTGGAATATACTTATTTTTCTTTTTCTCTGTCACTCCAATTCTGCAACGTAATATTACGTAATGGTCATTTTTTTTAGAAGTTTATTCGTAAAAATGATGAATATAACGTAACAAATAGATAGGCTCACGAATTAGAACAAAACGATAGTTATTTGAATAAGATCGAACAAAGTATTATTGAGAATTCTACGAATGGAGTCCGACGATGTTTACTACAGACCAAACCTGACCAATCCTAGTTCATTACGGATCAATTCTTTTTATGCTTCAGAAAAAGATTGTAAATTATAAAGAATAATTTAGTTTAAAATTAAATTCAATTTTAAAGTTAAAATCGAGAATTAAATAAGATGTGGACCCGACCCAAATGGTTCTAGATAAAAATATGGGGAAAATAATAATCATAAATCAGGCTTTAAATTTTACAAATGCAAAAATCAGATTTTAAGTTTAAAATATGCAAAAATCAGGTATTTATTTATAAATTAAAAATATTTTTATTAATTAAATATTATAATTAATTGTTATAGATACATAATTATATGTCACAACTTTTATTGGTGACATATTAACAAATTAATTGGTCACAAATTATTTCGATATCACAAATTAAATTTTTTATAGGTCACAATTTATTTCGTTGGTCACAGTCTCACATATCAAAAAATTTATAGGTCAGAATTTATTTATCGGTCACATATTTTCAAATTTTGGTCACAATTTATCAAATTTCAAAGTCACGGTTTAACGGTTAGTTACACAGAATCAAATAGTTGGTTACATACACTAAAAAACCAACCCCTGATCACGATCCACCACGACACCACCAATACTTGGTCACAAATCAACCAAATAGTTGGTCACATACACCAAAAAACAAACCTTCGATCCCGATCCACTACCAATACTTAGTCACAAATCAACCAAATAGTTGTCACAAACACTCTTCATCCTGTCATCTCTGCCACAACCACCGTTCACGGGGGGAGAGATGAGGGGGAGGAAAGGAGAATTGATAAAATTAAGGTTAACAATATTATGTTTAATAATAATTAAAACATAAAATTATTACATGATTTTTGAATAATTAAACTTTAAACCTGATTTTGAAAATGATTCTTTAAACACCTGATTTTTTATAATTTCCTCTAAAAATATCCACTAATTGTTTGAATGCAAATGTGAAAAATGGGTGGAAAGAAAATGTTTTACAAAGATTGATTTGCTTAGAAATTGTTTTACCGATAATTGTAATTAATTGTGTTTGATTGGTATAATTTTTCATGGAAAATGTTGAAAATTTAGTGTCCGTTTAACTTCTTTTTTTATGTAAATTATCCATTAAAGTGATAATTTTTTCTACCATTGGGTTTAGAATTTGTTCCAATTGTAAAAAAAATAATAAAAAAAAATTACTATAACGAATACCATTCGTTTTGCTTTGTTTTGCATGTAAGGATGTGTTTGAACCACATTATTTAGGAATAATAGATTGATGGAGAATATTTGATTGAAAAAGAAGAAAAAATTATTGATGTGATGAAAAATATCATTTTATTGAAGAATGTGTGATTGAAAATGAGTAAAAAAATGAGAATGAAAATTTTAATGTGGCTCAAACATATGCTAAATTGTTATCATTGTGTCTAGAATTTTTTCAAATTGTCAAAAAAAAAAAACCCCAAGTTGGAAAATCATTTCCCACACAAACTATGGGAAAATGAATTCCACAAAAATCAAGAAATTGCGCACATGTGAGTGGAAATCAAGAAAAATAATTCTAGAAAAAACTTTCCAATCAAAAAAGCCAAAACTTTGAAAAATGGAAAACAAGTTCTTACTTCCATGGAGAATTTTCCATATCAAACAGGGCATTAATTCATTTGTGTTGACTCAATATTCAAGTCCACGCAAAGTCATGTATATCTTTTATGTTTTTATTATGTAATAATAATAATTTCATTTAAGATCAGATAATTACTAATAACTCTTGTTATATGATTTACTTATTAGCCTCTATTTAATGAGATTAAAATCAGATTTTTA